AAAAAAAAGTATCATTAAAAACTACTCTGCTGTAGTGTCTGAACGTTACTCGCTGATCTTTAATTTTCATTTGAAAATTAGTTCAGTGGATCAAATCAGTAATACGCATTTCAAATAAAGTGTAAATTAAACAATGATGGCAAATGTGTAGAAAGAGGATGTGCATTAAAATATTTGCAAATACATGCTTCTTTTCCTTTAATGAATTCATGAAGAGTAACTTTTAACGAAATAATTTCAGGCCTAATTTTATTTTATCTTCTATTTGCAGAATATATGCACAATGTTTTATTTGGAACACAATTAAGCTATGCTGCAATAATTGGATAAGGTAAATAAAATAGATCATAGCTTAAGTACAGTACAATCAAATTAAGAAAATAAATTTAAAAGACTAAAAAATAATAATAAGCCGAAGTTTAAACAGACCGCAAGTGATGATCTGATTTGGGGTTCAACAACAACGGAAATGCTTGAGAGGGTTTCCTCTTGGCTCGTTTGTATCTTTGGCAGCGGCTTTATTTGGGAAATGTTGCCCTCTAGCGGCTGAATTTTGACATTACAACAAACCTCGGTAAAATAGAAAGAAAGGAGCCTTTCTGGCGGAGGAATTGGACCTTTGACACAAAATAAAATTAATCTTTAAAATCGATCGACTGTTCGCAGATTAGGACACGTTTTTAGGAAGAAGAAGAAGAAACATTTCATGCTTGAATCCTGCAGATGTCGAGAACCCAGAGAGGAGATGGTAAAACTTGATGACGTGTGAAGTTTAGAGCCAGCAGTGCTGATAACAGCACAGATTTATCAACAAGAAAAAGTCTGATTTGTTGACAATAGTCATCTTTTAACTTCTGCTGCCATGTTTTGTGCTTTGATAATCCAGAGATTTCAATCTCGCCAAGGAAGTCCCGGGTTCGAATCCTGGAAAAAACCCTGTTTAATTTGGTTATCTTGTTAATTATTATTATTATTATTGTTATTATGTATGTTTCCTTTTGCGTTAACGGACAACCATGTTTTAGTCTGTGTTTGCATGTCTCTGTCTGTTAGCAAAATATCTCATGAATCACTGGATGGATTCTGATTAAAATTTCAGGAAGTGATTACTGTATATACCTCTACAACTGGTTACCTTTCAGAGTTCATCGTGTTTAAAATGGCCCCCACAGCTAATCAGTCAACACAAAAATTACTATAAACCAGTCAATTTGACTATAATGAAGCAAAAACTTAGTGTGGTAGTAGCTGAGAGTCATTCACAACACATACTTTGAGTGTGGCGTCTCACATGCGACATTACATTATTTACAGCGTTTGACTGAAACAGCTACACCTCTGTGATTTCTCAACACGAGATAATGTAAAAAGCAGTGAGTGATGCAAATATTAGACCTTCAGTCATCTTGTATACTTGTACGGAGTCACTTGTATACTTGTACAGAGTCACTTGTATACTTGTACAGAGTCAGCATGTACCCTTGTTAGATATTTGAACTCACATGTGCACAAGCATCTTTCGTTTATATTTCAAATGTTACGTTGTATTAAAGTATGTGATCTTTTCACAAGTTTATCATCAAGTAAGTATCTAGTCCTGATACTTGAAGGTTTGGGTTTTTTTTACTTACATTGAGACTATTGTTGTGTCTGTGAATCCTGTGCTGTGACGCAACTGATCACGTTTGTTGTGTATTATTCAGCAGTTTTCACACAAATATTTATTCAATAACGACGGTTACTACATGAATTTTCTAGGGAGTGGTGGCGCAGAGGTTAGAGAAATGAGGTCTGTGATCAGAAGATCGCTGGGTCAACTCCCGGTATCGACAACTTTAAAATGTGGGTGGGATAGTTAAAGCACCCACACATGTCTCCACCCTCATTTGCCCCACTCTGGGCCCTTGAGCAAGGCCCTTAACCCCCACCATCTGCTCCCCTGGGTGGCCTAGATGTCAGCTCTCTGCTCCACACAGAGGCTGTGGTAGCTCGGTGGTCTGTGGTTGCATCAGGAAGAACATCCGGTGTAAAAATAATTACCACGTCTTCGTGCGACTCAGTTCGCTGTTGAGGGAGAAGAAGAAAGAGAACTACCAAGGATGTGCTACACGCTCCAGACCGGTTCAAAAGAAAGTTAAATGTTGGAGCCAGGACAGTGGACCCATACTGAGAGATTGTTTTGATCGAACAGACTGGCAGGTTTTCAGAGAAGCTGCTGAAAATGGAGGTTCGCTTGATCTTGACCAATACACATCCTCAGTACTGGGTTACATTAGTACATGTACTGACACAGTCTCCACTATCAGAAATGTTAAAAGCTACCCAAACAGAAAACCTTGGCTGAATGCAGAGGTGCGTACCCTGCTGGAAGCCAGGAACACTGCCTTCAGGTCTGGAAACTCAGAGGAGCTGAGTAGGACAAGAAAAGAGCTGGTTGCTGGTATTAAGAGGGCCAAGGCCACATATGCAAAGAGGATCGAGGGTCAATTCATCTCACAAGACCCTCGGAGCATGTGGAGGGGCATTAAGTGCATAACAGATTATAAAGGAAGGAGTGAACAATGCCCCAAAGACCCATCTCTGCCTGATGCCCTCAACAAGTTCTATGCACGCTTTGAAGACCCGAACAGACCACCCAGCACCAGACTCACCTCACCACCGGATGAAGAGCATCTCAGCGTGACCTCAGCAGAAGTAAGGAGTACCTTCAGGAGGATTAATCCGCACAAAGCAACTGGCCCAGACAACATCCCCGGAAAAGTGTTGAAGGAATGTGCTGATCAGCTCTGTGAGGTGCTGGCAGACATCTTTAACACCTCACTTACCCTGGAGACAGTTCCCACCTGCCTGAAGACTGCCACCATCATCCCAGTCCCAAAAAGCTCTACAGTGACTGGTCTGAATGACTATCGGCCAGTGGCCCTTACCCCGATAGTCGCTAAATGCTTCGAAAAACTGGTCATGACTCACATCAAAACAACCATCAACATCAACGAGGACCCTCATCAGTACGCATACCGTGAGAACCGATCAACAGAGGATGCAATCTCCTCTGTGGTCCACACTGCACTCAACCACCTGGAGCAGAAAAACTCTTACGTCCGTATGCTCTTTGTGGACTTCACATCCGCCTTCAACACCATGATCCCCCAAACCCTGATGGACAAACTATCCACACTAGGACTAAGCCCCTCCATCTGCAACTGGGTACTAGACTTTTTAACAAACAGACCACAGTTAGTGAGGATCCACAACCTCTCCTCCTCCACCATAACCCTCAGCACTGGCTCTCCTCAGGGATGTGTGTTGAGCCCCCTCCTGTTTACTCTGCTCACATATGATTGTGCAGCTACCCATCCAGGCTGTCACATTGTAAAGTTTGCAGATGATACAGCGGTGGTGGGATGCATCACAAACAATGATGAGTCCAGCTACAGGCA